TGATGGCATGTTGCATGTGTTGGAGGTCTACCTGCCAGCCAACCAGTGGGGATTATCAGCTACCCCAGCCCAGTATTTTCTTCTTCAGTTACAGCAATTGAAGCAGGGTTGCCCTTCTTCATTGCATCCCCCAATCTCCTCCATCTCAATGGGAAAGAGTCCAAGGCTCGAAACTTGTCTTAGGTGTAAAGTTCGAATCCCCTTCTCCTATCAAAGAGCCCTAACTGGTCTGGCTGTGAGGATTTCATATAATTAGAAATGGTGAAATCTGTGTGTGAGCTGAAGCTGTGAGTGATGTCAACATATGAGAAGCATGTAGAGCTGATAGATGGGTAGGGAGCTGAGGTCTGTGAGCCCCTGGTGAATCATCTGAAAGTCAAGGAGGACCAGGGGCAGACATTGATGAAAGTTGAATATATGTATCTCGGAATGCAGCCAGGATTGAGAACCATTGCTGCAGCTAGAAGAGTTGTTTCTCCTCTGAACTCTATAGCAGTTTTTCCCTCTCTCTCTATCTCCTGTTGGCTGCTTTGCACATGCGGTGGGTCTTATTCCCCAACCAGGGCCACAGCAGTGAGAGCACTGAGTCCTAACCACTGGACAACCAAGGAATTCCTGCAGTTTTTCTTTAATCATGCTCAACAAAACTTTAAAAACATGTTCTACATTTCACTGAAGTTATTTACACATGTATTTTATTTCTCCAGCTGTGCCACAAGCTTTTTGTGCTTCATTCTTCAAATCTCCAACAGGGTTCAGTTCAGTCACTCAGTCGTGTCCGACTCTTTGTGACCCCATGGACTGCAGCACTCCAGACTTCCCTGTCCATCACCAACTCATAGAGCTCACTCAAACTCATGTCCATCGAGTCGGTGATGCCATCCAACCATCTCATCCTCTGTCATCCCCTTCTCCTCCCGCCGTCAATCTTTCCCAGCATCAGGGTGTTTTCCAATGAGTCAGTTCTTCCAACAGGGTTACCCAAGGACATTTGTTTATCCCCTCACCTGGACTCATAAACATTCATTAAGTGCAGACCTATCCCTGAAAAAAGAACTAAAAATAGCAAGAACTATATGTCCTTGAGCAAGTTATATAACCTCTGAACCTCTCAGAAAAGACTAGGTTACAGCCAGTCTTGGAAAAGACTGGTCTCCCACTAGCATTATCATGGAACAACGCACAGAAGCCAGGCTGGCAGGAAGTTCTCTGAGGTCTTCCTTGACCACCCTCCTAAACTTGCAGCTCCCTCCCTGCATTGCCTGTTCTGCTTCCCCTGATTTGCTTTTTCTCCTTGGCACTCAGCACATACTCTGTGTTTCACTTCTCTTCTTTTCTGTTGGTCTCCACCCGCCTGCAGTATAAGCTCCCTGTGGATAGAGATTTTTGCCAGCCTGGTTCACTGCTGTATCTTCAGAATTCAGAGTAGTGCCTAGCAGGTAGTAGATGCTCAGCGAATATTTGTTAAACTAATAAGTAAGTATTTTAGCCTATTTTTAAAAAGAGGTTTAATCCCTGTCCTCTACTCCAGCAATATGAATTACTTTTTGGTAAATATTTGTAGTCTTAACTATAAAGCCTTTCTTTTCCAATAAAAACTATATTTCTAGCATAAACATGTATATTCTGAGTTGTGTTTTGGAAATATAATGCCATTTCTGAGAGCATCGACAGTGGTTCTGTTTAAACCCAGGGAGGGTTGGAGCAAGGATCATGGGCAATTTTGGGGACTGTTGTATGTGGACTGGAGCAGAGGAACAGGGATGGTTAGTGGAAGCCAAGGAAACCTGAACACTGGGTGTTCTTGCACCATTAGAACTCTAATCCTAGGTGTTCCAGAGGACAAGGACCGTGGTGACAGAGGTGGCCAAGAAGAGCAGGTAGATGCGAAAGAGCAGGTTGTCCATCATGTGGCCGAATTGCATCCACAGGTCAACGAGCTGGGCCCTTGTCAATCCTGAGCCCCCATTCAGTTCTGCCTCTTTGGGTCCCAACTCCTTCCTTCCCAGTTTTCCTGGCTCCTTCAGTCCTATGGGGAGGGCAGAGATACAGCCATGAAGTGGGAAGGAGACAGGATTAGAGAAGTGGGAGACTGGGAAGTTGGGTCCAGTGTAGACAGGGCGAGCAGTGCAGACATCTCTTACCAGACAGGTGGGTGGATATGAGGCCCAGGCCTGTGTTTTCCTTCTGGGGCACAGTAGGGCAACGTGTCGTTGGACTGGTGTGATGGAGAAGCAGGGAGTGGAGCCAGCGAGGCATGGATGGGGGCTGGATGGTGGCCAGGTGCAGCAGGTAGGTGATAAAGATGGTCTCCAGCAGGCTGAGCACCATCAGGGACAGACACAGGGCAAAGTAGACACCTAGGTGGCAGGAAGGAGCACACTCGGATGAGTCAGGTCCAGAGGGACCACCGAGCCCCCCTTTCTTCTGTCTCACACCTCAAGCCTTTTCTAAAATGACTGCAGCTTAGCTGCCTCAGCAGATCTAGCCAGTTCACTTGCCTACCCTGCCTATGTTTTCTTTTTTTCATTTTTCATTTCCCAACTGTGAGATAGGGGACATACTAATGAGGGAGGTGCCAGTGGCAGGAAGTAAGTTACTGATATTGAGCAGGAAGACGTTGTAGCCCAACAGGAGTGTCATCTTGAATGGGGCACGGTTGTCGCTTTCTGCCGGCAGGTAGAAGCTGAGGGCGTCAATGGTGACTAGAAAGCTACTGGGCACCAGGAGGTTTATGATGTAGAGGGTGGGCCTGCGCCTGATGGCCACCTGGTGGGGTGGGGAGAGCAGAGAACCAGGTGAAGTTAGAACTGAAGTGAAACCAAGGGATGAGTCCAGTCCCTTTCTTTCTTTCTTTCTTTTTTTTTTTTTGGTCTGCATCATGCAACTTATTGGATCTTAGTTCCATGACCAGGGATTGAACCCGCACCCCCTGCATTGGAAGTGCAGGGTTCCAACCACTGGATCACCAGGGAAGTCCCGCCCCTTCCTTTCTTAATGTCCTCACTCTAACAGTAGCTCTTTGGGAGGGGCAGCTTTCATGTGACAAATAGGACTCCCCCATACCCACTGAAGAAAACCTAGGCCAGGGCTGATAGGTTCAGAGATGGGGGTTGCTTTGGGGAACTTGGGAGAGAGGAAGGCTATGAGGGTTATGGTGCCCAGGGACTTTTTGGTCTTAGGGCAAGTGGTGAAAGGCTCTGAGACTTAGAAGGGTCTGATGAGGAAGATATGGGGGATGGAAAGTTAGGCGGCTGGAATAATCTCTGGCCTTACATAAAACATGATCTGGTCAAAAAGACTGGTGCCCACAGACATCTTCGGGGTGGCCTTGTTGATGCCCAGGAGCTCCCACTCTCCTTGTGTGCGGCCAAGGTCACGTGAGTCATCCATTATCTCCCACACTTCCTTGTCCATGCCCAGCAACATGCTTTCCTCTGCAGGGGAGACAAACACTCAGTTCACATCTGCTCAGCACCCACTTTATGCTGGGATTGCAGAAATGATTCAATAATTATTTTAGCTACCTTTTCAGCTAGTCCTGTAATGTGACTTCCTTGCTCCCCAGTTGCCTCCTTTCAATTTTGGGCTTTTTCAGGAAGTTTCTAAAGTTGAACTTCTCCCCACCATCCACACACCCGCAACTAGCAAATACTCCACTATCCCCTTTTATACATAAAAAAATGACTTGGCCCCTGAGTGTTTTTTTGTTGGCCCCCTGGTCATTTACCCCAGTTACTTACTTCAACTCACCTGTATAGAGAAAAGAGCTAAAGGTGAGTGTGCAGTTCTGCTGGTCAAATGGGAAGTAGAAGATGTCCAGGTTACAGATGCTGGTCACCCTCATGGGTTTGTTATATACAACACGACCATCATTAGACACATATGCAGAGAGGCCGTCCGGGGTCTGATCCACATCCATGCTAAGTGGCAGAAGTGGGGGCAGACATCTGTTTAAGTTTGGCTCTTAAGGCAAGGTTTCCCAATGCTGCCGCTCTGCCATCTTTTCTGCCCACTGTTTTCTCACTTCTGGGGAGAAGTTGATGAGCTGTGACTGTGTTCCTCTCTGAAATAAGTTTTCAGTGGCCCCACTGCATGGGTTTGCCCTGCACTGCCCTGGCCTGATCCTTGCAGAAGAGTCTTCCCCCAGCTTTTCCCAGCCCTGATACTCACGATTCTACAATGAAGATGTCTGGGAGCCACAGGTTCTCAGCTGTTATGGTGAGTTTTTTGATATCACCACATTCTTCTGGGTCCCAGCTGATAAATGGGTGATTCCATATCTAGGACACAGGGCACAGAGAGATGGTTATGGCTCAGACCTGAAGCTAGTTTATATCAGCATTTCCTGCCCTCGAGTCCCTTAAAATATAGATACATATGTCTGTATTTTTCCTAAATATATGTACTATGGGTGTATGATAAAACTTCAACAACTCCAGAAAGATATAATATTAAAAAACCCCTTTTTCCCTCCTTAATTCTCTCCAACTCAGTTCATCTCCCCAACTCAGTCCCATTATTAACAGTTTTTTATACATCATTTTAGAAAAAATACATATTCCAGCATTCATTTTTATTTACCTGGAATCATACTGTGCACATTGTTATACATGTGGCTTTTTTATTTTTTTTTAGCCACATTTCCTTTTAAACTCTGATTCCCCTTCTCTCTCTGGTGATAATGTCCCTCTTCTCTAGTTTACAAAGTCTTATTGGCTTTTTGCTTCCTGCTCAAGGGAAATCTTAAGCTGGGGTGCTGAATACATTTGAGCCTTGACGCTTACTTAGGGGTTTCCAACTATACTGCCCTTTTTCTTCCTGTTTTTTTCCATCTGAATCTCAAAGTTGATTGGCAGCCCAGAAAGCTATTTGTCACCAGCACTGGCCCCATTCTGGTTGTATTTCCTTGGACATTGTCAATTTCAACAAATGTGATCTTTGCAAACAAAGCCAGAAAATCAGGCAAGGAGAAAGAGAAAAAAGCTGGGCTTACATACCAACTTTAACCACAGAAATGATGTCAGCAGCTGAAGTTGTGCATCCTGATTAAAAAAAAAAATCCCTGTTCAAGATCATCAGTGCCATGAAATCAGGTCCTAGTCTACCTCTTTCCTTTGTTTCCTAAGTGGTCTCATGTGATAGTTCAGTTTTTCAGTTACAAGTCTTGGAAGATAGTTCAGAAAAATTCAGGTTGCACAGAAACTGTAAGGAGAAAAAACAGCTTGGGAGCCCGTTGGGAATGTGTGTGTGTATGTGTGTGTGTGTGTGTGTGTGTGTGTGTGTGTGTGTGTGTGTTTTTAAGTGGAATATTCCTATAAGGGCAGGATTCAAGGACAAATGTTCCCTGCAAAAATGTCACTGCAGCATTCCCTGTCATGTCTCTCCACCCCATAGGATGAACATCTAATTTGTACAAAATCCATTCAGGAGGCTCATTGCTCACCACTGGACAGCTATAATGTTGACTGATAAGGTAAAGAGTTCTTGTTTTCTATTAGCAACCTATAGAAAAATGTAGCGGTCAAAACTCACCACTTCCAGGATGGCAGACAGGGTGAAAGAAATGTTGATACGAGTAGGGATGCTAAAATTGATGACTGGACGGAAGTCCTTCTTGTTAAATACAGACTGGAAGACATTGGGGTCTACCCCATGCTGGTCAAAGCCTGAGCAATTGATGGTGAACGTGTTTGCCCTTCCTGTAGAGAATAGAGACCCTGTGAGATGGGAATAGGGCCTTTGTGTTTTCCTAAGTGAGAGGAGTGCCAGGGCTGGGACCTGAGAGCCTCTCTGCAGAGAAAGAAAATGTGGACATGGGGTGGTCATGTGAACCATCCCCCCCACCCCCTCTTTTTGGGGCAAGATTCCCAAAGGCCAAGTTCTTCCTGCCAGGATTGAGGAGGATGGGCTGGTGTGGTAGGCAAATGTGGAAGTTGATGTGGTGAGCTGAGTCAGGGCACAGCCCTTTCTTCCTGTGCTTTTGGTCCCATATAAAGCCTACCCAAATCTGTATGCAAACTGCCTCTCTGGGGAGGCCTAGTCCTTCCATAGTGGTGACCCTAAAGTTTTGGCCTTTGTCTGACCATACTTTTCTTCTCTCCAGCTCTATTATGATTCTTCCTTGTAGATACTGAACAAAATTCCTCTAAAATTTTGTTTCTCAATGTTCCTTTCCCACTTTCATGTTTTCTCATTTCCTGAAAGGAAAAATTTAGAGACAAACATCCTAAATGTTTGTGTGATGTCAAACATGTGGGAACTTAAGGAATGTGGCATTCAATGTGAATTTATTGACTACCTAAAATGTTCTGTGCTCTGTGACCTTCTAAAACTCAGTGATTTCCTCTAAGATCTATGGGAGGCATTTTCATCATCACCATCTTGATAAGATCTCATTGATCATTCACCATGTGGCTGGTAGAGCTATACGATGAAATGTTAAAGTCCGTCTGCCCACCTCCCCCACACCCCAACCCCAGGTGACTGTGGTTATTCCTGTAGCTGAGCCCAGCCTTTTCTTTCCCATGTCTTTTTTATATCTCCCCATTCCAATTATCTCATGAGGGCCATCTCCAAACTAAGGAGAAACATATCTGGGGGGGAAGCAAACACTGTCCTTTCCCTCCACATCACCTCTCTACCACATCTGCCAAAGTGAGGTGGGAAAGGAGTTATGTTATTGTCAGAAGGACCCAAACTACCCTGTTCATAGTTACTAATCTGGTAGAAAGGACAAGTTGAACATTATTAATATAAAGCAGTGGAATCAGAGAGGCGGTAAAATGGAAAAACAGACGATTTAGTAGACGCCTATGCAGGCAAATGAAATGGGAGCTGTGTGTTCTGATTAGTGAAATGGGTTTTTTGTCTGTTTCCCAAAGGAAACCAAAACATAGACACTACAGAGAAAAGAAATGTTTAACCCAACTCCTTTGGGTGCTTTCTAGTTCTGGGGAATGAGAGGGTTTCTGGAATTGTCCTGGAAGAGTATTCCCCTCTTTCCCTGCTCTTGTCTCATCTTACCTTGAAGCAGAAGGCTGGCACTGAGGCAGAGGAGGAATCCCCCTGTAGTGGACCACCACCCTTCCATCTTCCTCTTCTGGATTCTTCTCTGGGGACTCACTAGGAACCCCAAACCCTGGAATTTAAAAGAGCCCAGACCACACCTTGACTCCTGGTTTTGAATGCTGCTCCTGACAGCTGACCACTCCCTAGTGAGAGGCAGTGGCCAGAGAGGTCACAGCAGAGTGTCCTGCTTTGCCCCTGTCCAAGAATGCCTTTTGAGCTCCAGGCAGGGAGAAAATTGGGCCAAGACTAGGGGAGAAGTACCTGTTTGGCTGCTTTGTCTAGATAAGTGGTCTCAAATTTGAGTTACAAGAATCTTTCAGGAAAACTGGGGGACTTGGGAGATGGGGCAGATGAGGTCAAGGTATCATAATACCTTAATCATACTTTAATAAAGGTATCATCAAGTCCTTCTGGAACGAACTGTGCCTCAGAGAAAGTGTATGGACCATCAGGAAGGAATGAGTGTGCTCTCTTGTGGTGGGGCCAGTTGCTGATTTCACAAGGCAGGAACATGTAATTATTTTGTTGCAGATCTAGAAATATATCTTTTATCCAGCTAAGGACCTTAGGGATTACTGTCAATACTGAGTTAAGAAGCTTTCTTGAGAGGTTAAGCTCCTTTTTTTGTGACATAAACCTATCAGAACTCTGTCCCTGCAGCTAGCACCATAATACAGGTTTGCATCATCCCTTGTTTGTACTGTTGGAATAGCTTCTTCATAAGATTTCCTCTATCTAGTTTTCCCTAACCTAATCATTTATTTTGCCATTCTCCTAAAATAGAACTCTCCTACTTACCTTTCCTTTTTTAATGTCTCTAAAGGCTTACAGCCCTGTTATCATCAGGTAATGTTTGTGAGTTGAAAAATCATTAGGAGGTTTGTGTGTGTGTCTGAAAGCACCCCAAGTGGTTCTGATTCATACTCACTTTATTGAAAACTTTGGGGTGGGCTATATTGAGATACCACAATCAAGATATTGTTATTACTATTGATACACTCAAGATACAGAACATTAACTCCAGGATCTTTCATGTCACCCTTTCATAGCTATAATCACCTCCCTCCCCATTACTCTACAACCTATGAGAATCACTCATTTGTTCTCCGTTTCTATAATTTTGTCATTTCAAGAATGTTATATAGACCAGATCATGTAGATGTAACCTTTTGGGACTGGCTTTTCTCACTCAACAAAATTCTTTGGAGATTCATCAGATAGTTGCCTGTATCAATACCACCCCCTTTTCACTGCTGAGTAGTTGTCCACAGTATGGATGTCACACAGTTTGTTTTTTTACCTGGTGAAGGACTTCTGAGTTTTAAGGAAAAACACTTACTTTGGACACCAAATATGTGCTTTTTTTCTTTCCCCCTCATACTGAGCCATTCTGACATTCATTATCCACAGTTAGTGCAGACCCCACAAGTAAAAGTCTCATTCCCACAAGACTGCCCCCTACTTCAGATGCCAATTACAAACCTGGGTCTCCTACACTTCTGAACAACTGACTATAAGTTGAGGGTTCCCATAACTCTATCCTCAGGTTTGATGGTTTGCAGTAATGGCTCACAGAACTCATGGAAACACTTGTGTTTACTGATTTATTATGAAGTATATTACAAAGGGCTTCCCTGGTGGCTCAGACAGTGAAGAATTTGCCTGCAATGCAGGAGACCCAGATTCGATCCTTGGGTTGGGAAGATCCCCTGGAGAAGGGAATGACAACCCACCCACTCCAGTATTATTTCTTGGAGAATTCCATGGACAGAGGAGCCTGGTGAGCTACAGTCCATGGGGTGGCAAAGAATCGGACTTGACTGAGTGACTAACTTTTTAACTTTTATATAATAAAAGATGCAGGTAAATGGCCAGATGAAAAGATATACAGGGCAAGGTTTGGAAGGTCGCTGAGTGCAGGAGCTTCTGTCTCTAAGGAATTTGGGTGTGCCACCCTCCTGGCACATGAGTTTGTCAATCCAGAAACTCTTCAAACTCCATAGTTAAGGGATTTCTTACAGAAGCTTTGTTACATAGGTGTGACTGATTATTAACTCATTCTGCAGCTCCTCTCCTCTTGGCAAAGCATGGGGATTGGAGCAGGAAGTTCCAAGCTTCTATGGCTTGGTCTTTCTAATGACCTGTCCCTATTCTGAAGCTATCCAGGAATCTACCAAAAGTCACCTCATGAGAATATCATCTGGGAAATTCTGAGGGATTTAGGAGTCTGTGTTAGGAACCCAGATCAAAGACCAAATATTGAACGAAAGATGTTCCTAACACAACTATCGCTCAGGAAGTTAGTTTTAGGATCTCTATCTCAGGAATTGGGAGCAGAGATCAAATATATTTTTCTTCACAGAGTTGTTTACAATTTTTGTCTATTATGCATAAAGCTGCTAGAAATATTTGTGTTCTGGTTTTTGTGTGAACATAAGTTTTCTGGAATAAATACCCAGAAGTGCAATTGCTGGATTGTTTGGTTGTTTTTGCCACTCCTCATGGTCTACAGTAGTGAAAGCCTGAAATTCTAATCACCAGGCTAGCAGGGAACTCCCTGAATATACAGTTTATTTATTTATTTGGCTGTGCTGGGTCTTCGTTATGGCATGTGAACTCTTAGTTGAGACCTGTGTGTTCTAGTTCCCTGACCAGGGATCGAACTCCAGCCCCCTGTGAGTGGGGCGTGGAGTCTTAGCCACTGGACCACTAGGGAAGTCCTGTGGGTGTAAGTAAAGTTACTTTACCTGTTTTCGTCAGTTTCTTCATCTATAAAATGGATAATAGCAATAGCTCTTATCGCATTATTATAAGGATTAAATAAGGTCATAATTCCAAAATGCTTAGAACAGTGCTGGTGCATAATAGCATGATATAAATGTTTTTTAATAATAATTTCAGAGAACACAGTCTCACTGCTACTAAATTTTGAGACATGCTTATAGTCTACCTATAGTTGATTTTTGTGAATATTCCAAATGTGCTTGCAAAGAATGTATTCTCTAGTTGTTAAGTGTAGGGTTCTATATATTCTTATTACATCTAATTTAACTGTGTAGTTAAAGTATATTATTTTTTCAGTAATGTGTTGTTACTGTGAAATATATTGAAATCTCCTATGATAATACTAGAACTGTCACTTTATCTTTGTAATTCTTTCCAGTTTTGCTTTATATATATTTGAAGCTATTTTATTAGATGCATTCAAATTTATAATGTTTATATCCTCCAAGTGATAAGATAAACATTTTATCTTTATGTTGAGATTCTCTTTATTCTGAATAATTGTTTATTCAGAATAATTATATTCTGAATAATTTATTCTAAATAATTACCTATTCTGAATAATTCTCTTTATTCTGAATAATTGTTTTGTCTTAATGACAATTTTGTCTGATATTGCTAGAACCATTCCAGCTTGCTTATAATTAGTATTTACCTTACATGTCTTTTCCTGTCTTTTACCTTTAGCTTTTCTGTGTCCTTTGGTTTTAGGTGTGTCTTTTTAAAATCCAACTAAATAAACACTAACTAAATTGTTGAGTTTAATGCATTTACATTTGTTTTATTATTAACATATTTGGATTTACTTCTGCCATCTTATTCCATACTCTGCTGCTTTTTTTCCTCC